ATTTGAAAAATATTCTCTTGTAAATTAAAAAGTAATGCGTTACTTTACTAGTTACTTGAAAAAAAGTAATCTGATTACGTAACTTGCGTTACTTGAAATATATTACCCCCAACACTGGTCGCGGGGTGATTTTAACTAGTTTAAAGTCAGATGAAACAGCGCTGATTCTCCACAGCACTGACGCGGAAAACAGGAGAAACTTTGTGCGACAACAATCCAAAAATACTTTTCAATCCACAAATCACCAATATTTTCAATGGATTTAATATAGTAACACTGGCTATAGTCATGCCAATTTTTATTATAGCTATTATTAATGTAGACATATAGGCCTATTGAATGTAATGTAAGGGATCAGTAAAATAAGTTAGGTATTTTTGTTATAAGCAGTTTTGTGCATTTCTATATATACAAAATAAATGTCTAAATAGACTAAATAATATAAAGCCATTTTAGATGTTATAGCCTAATTATTCAAAATTCACCTTCAAAACAAGGTTGTTAAAATATTTACAGATTGTTACATCCTCAACTCAACTCAAGCTACTGCTGCTGCAAAAGTCTGGAGACCCCTGATCTATGGAATGTGTGGCTACTTCCTTCAAAGGCTTTTGACTGCTTAATTTTTTTTACTAACCACCAGATAGCGCTGTTTCGGACATTCTCGGAGCTTTGTATTTGCCCATCACTACTCACCTCGTTGAAATGCGCCCCCCCCCCCCCCCCCTTTTAGCAAGGTGCAGTGGTGCCCCCAGAAATTTGTAATAGGGGTGGCCAGAGGAGCCCACAGCAAATCTTGGGGTGGTAAACCAAAATAAATAAATAATATTCAGTGTAATGTGTGTTATCCTTATTTACTTTTGTTTCTGGTTAATGTAACAAGTTTAATAAGCAATGAATGGCTCTTTAAATAGCCTAGTGTAGTTCTTTTCCTTAGGCAAATAGGCATAATTATACATCAAATATATGAGCAAACCAAATAAAATGACAATATTTAGTTTAAAAACAATTTACAGGCCAATTATTTTCCACATACCTTTACTGTACACAAATGCAGCATAGGCCATGTCTAAAATGAATAAAGAAAAATTTATTAATATATAGACAATGTACATTTTAACAGAGTATACTCACAACCAATCCATATTCATTTTTATTTCATGTTTTACTAAGCCACAATCTTATCACTACAGCTTTATTCTTTTACTGCTGTGTCTTTTTGCAAACACATCCACAAAATCATCAAGATTTATGGCCCTTGCCCTGCTTGATACACTTAACACCCCCAAATTGCTCAATCGTTCATCGCTCATTGTATTTCTCAAGACAGTCTTGATTATCTTTAGCATAGAAAAACTGCAAAATTGACATAGCACAGTGTGACTAGTCATAGTTTGAAAGCTAACTTTGCAGCTTAGCAGCGCTAGCATTAATTTTAGCTAATGTTAATTCAACACTGTAAAAGCTTTACTGAGTAACGTTTAGTTAGCAACAAAAAAAAAGTCAACTGAGAACGCTCTGGTTACTAACCTCTGTTCCCTGAGATAAGAGAATGAGCTTTGCATTGTATGCTAATGGAGAAACTCCTGTTTACACTGATAATGAAGCCTGATTTGTTCACGTTTGTGTAGCTGCACAAACAAATGGCGCTTCAACCCGCCAAAAGGTGCTATGTGAGTCAGCTCTGAGTTCCATTTCATCAGAATCTTTCGACTGATCGCGACAGTCATCGACTCGCGTGCAGCCTTATAGTATGGCAGCTTACGCAACGCTCGTTCTCTTATCTCAGGGAACCGATGTTACCAGAGCATTCCCTTTCGAACGGTTTCTCCCATTGCGTTGTATGCTTTTGGGGAATGCATCCAATAGCGCCGTGCAGGAAGCAAGTGCAGAACAAAGCCACTCTGCGAGCCCAGCCCCAGAGCGCCCGTATTGACGGCTCATGTAAGCATGAGTTAATTATGAGACCCAAGCCACTAGACTGTGGTCCATATAACAAAACCTTCTCCACTCACAGAGGGGATTAGGTAAACTTAAGAAGACAAAATCTGTGCCTGAAGGGCCAGGACGTCCAGGTTCTAAGAGACTGAACCGGGCCGAGTAGAGAGCACCTTAGGCACATAACCGTGTCTTAGTTTGAAGACGACTCTACAGTTGTTAGGCCCAAACTCAAGGCATGAAGCACTGACTGACAGTGCTTGTACACTCTTAAAAATAAAGGTGCTTCCCGATGCCACAGTGTGAGGACGAGGGGGGTTCAACCTCCGAGCTCCCCTTAGAACTTAACGACCAGGTCGTTTTTGCCGACTTACTGGCCAGCCACGAGAGCGTGATTCGCCACGATGGCTGCCGCATATGCTTTGAGCTTGGAAGGGATGTGCCCCTTGTTCAGCAGCTCTTGCAGAAAGGTTAACACAGACGACACGTCACAAGAGGACGGGTCTTCGTTCTGTGCTGCACACCAGTCAGAAAGACTGACCATTTGAGGGTATAGAGGCATCTCGTAGATGGGACCCTGGCTCCTAAATGGCGTTAGTCACTCTCGCGGGGAGCTGTAAAGACTCCCGTCAAGGGGCCAAACATGAAGGCTCCGCAGCTTGGGCTGGGGATGCCAAATCATGCCTCTCACTTGAGAGAGGATGTCCTTCATCAATGGTATCGGCCATGGGGCTGCCGACAGCAGCTGAATCAACTCAGGGAACCACATCTGATTCCTCCAGAGTGGGTCCACCAGAAGGACAGAGCACCTGACTTCCCTGACCCGTCTGATGACCTGAGGAAGCAGGGCAATTGGGGGGGAAGGCATACAAGCGAGCGCTTTGGCTTGGGCCATTCGTAGGCAAGGGCATCTTGCTGCCTTGAGTAGTAAATTGGGCAGTGAAATTTGTCTTCTGAGGCAAAGAGGTCTACCTAGAGGAGGTTGCACTGTGCCCATAAAAGGAGGCACTGAGCCATCCTGCAAGGCGAACGTGACATAAGAAAAATTGCACTCTGCCACCCCTTTTGACGGGTTGAAGCGTTATTTGATCCCGCAGCTACAAACAAATCAGGCTTCAGTATCAGAGTAAACAGGAGTTTCCCCCATAAGCGTACAACACAACGGGAGAGACCATTCGAAAGGGAACATACATTCATGTCTTCACTATAAGTCACTATTTTATGGCATACATAACCCATTGTCGTCTCTCCAAAATATGCAGGTACTGTGCTGTGATCAATGAACTTGAATCAGTCCTGCTTCTTGCACTGTGCAGTTAATGATGGGAGGGGGGAGGCCAGTGAAACAGCTACTCCTTGGGGCTGCCCCTGACAATGTGGGATTAGCATTCGTCAAAATCATGTTGTTTTAAGTTGAGTGAGTTAATAAATAAATATTTTTTTTTATAACATATTTTCTATAATTTGTTGAATTATGAAAAACGTGTTTAGAATAGTATCATTGTTTTAGACTTTGAATTACTTTAAAATTGTAAACCTTTTGATTATTGGTAATAAAATATAGCATTCCTAGTGTGTACACTGGTTGTTGGACACAATAAAGATTGAATTATGGATATACAATAGTGAACCATATTTGGGGAATTAATTTATTCACTCAGAACAACATTTAGACAACACTATACATGGAATAGGGACCTTCTGAACAGAGTTTATGACTTGTTGAACATATAATAGAGAGAGGTAACAAAAAAGGGAGGGGTCAGACACTAAATTCCTGCAGCTCAAGCACGATGAACTCTACATTTTTTTAATTAGGGCACACACTTTTTATGGCTATTAATGAACATGAAATTGAGTATAAATACTGACAATGTTGTATTACATTTTCTTAATTACTATTATTACTGAATAATCTTAATTTGAGTTTTAAAAACTGGATTCACGGTATCATCAATCAAATGTACATTCAATTTTTTTTTTATACTAAATATCCATCCATTGAACACTTTTGTGGTGAACTAGAGGCAAACAATAACTAATCAAATGTAACATGAATATCTTGGTAATACAAAGATCTGTTCTTCAGCTCAACAGCCTAAGGAAGGAATTTAAAGTGAAGCTGAACTTGGTGGGAAACATCCTGCTTCATTGTGTAGCGCACACAGGTACATGCACAAACTTGAGTTGTTTCAAACAAGCATCCACTGTTATTGCCCCTTTATAGTAAAATTGTTACGTAATAAGTCGCTGTAGGCAAATCTTAAACTGACAATGAGATCAGCACACCTCCATGTAATTTCATATCTTGTCCAGTTTTATCCGTTTACCCTTTGATAGACTTTCTGCAGTCAAACTTGCTTCTTTCAACACAGCTACATCACTTGCATGATGCAACTGGTGTTCAAATTCTGTAGTGAACTTTTTGTGGCTCAGATTTTAGAGTAATAATCAGTTTTAAATGAGTACATCATTAAAGGAATAATTTCGTCTGCTGGACACAATAGGAGATATTTTGAAGAATGTGAGTAACCAAACAGTTTCTGGTCCCCATTGACCTCCATATCAAAAAGTCATTGGGCACTATAAACTGTTTGGTTATCCACATTTTTCAAAATAACTTCTATTGTGTTCAGCGTAAGAAAGAAACTTGAGGGTTAGTAAATAATGACAGAATTTTCATTCTTGGGTGTACTATCCTTTTAAGTTAACAGTTAACAGGCTATAAGGGTGTTTTAGATTAGAATATTCAAGTTTTAGAGTGCTTAACTACAGTAAAACCAGCAGTGAAAAACAAGAAACTTCCACAAATGTGTGAACATGTACAGAGCTGCTCTCATCTGAGAAAAGTTTGGAGGAGGAATGCAAGCTTCTATCTTACTTACTTCAGGGGCCGATCAATCAACCAATCTTAACTCTTAGCGTCACCTTTCACTTCAGGTGACTGAAGTTGACAGAATTCCTTGGTGTCAGCAAGTTTTTGATGAAATGATGTCAACACGTCCTCCTTTGTAAGCGTCAGTCTCAGTTCCAGCACATATAAGGACCCCGAGTTGCTCTATTTTACTCACTCTCCAGCCAGAGCAGAGTAAGACCACAAACCACCGTCCACATGGCTACCACCTTCTCCAGCGGCAGCTTCATTTCCAGCAGATCCTCAATGGGCTCCTCACGCTTCTCCTCTGCAGGTGGAGGAGGTGGCCGCATCAGCACCATGAGGGCTGGCAGCGTGTACGGAGGCGCAGGAGGTTCAGGGGTCCGTATCTCCAGTGCCTCTCGCTCCATGGCCTCAGCAGGTTCAGGAAGTGGCTTTGGCTTTGGTGCTGCAGGAGGTGCTGGTTCAGGATTCGGTGGTGCTGCAGCTGGAGGAGGATTCAGCATCAGTGGTGGAGCAGATGACAGCATCATTGGCAATGAAAAGCTCACCATGCATAATCTCAATGACCGTCTGGCTGCTTACCTAGAGAAGGTCCACTCCCTTGAAAAGGCCAACACTGACCTTGAGTTGAAGATACACCAATTCCTTGATAACAGAATCTCTCCTACTGGTGCTACTCATAACTACTCTGCCTTCGAAGCTACTATTGGTGACCTCCAGGCTAAAGTAAGTCTAACTAGGTAGATACTTTGTGGTTACTGCTATAAGAAAATAACCTAATAATCTTCATTACCATGAAATAAAGTAAAAAATTTAATAAATTCAAACAATGTTTACTTTTTGTTCGCAGATCTTGAGCGCCATGCAGGAAAGGATCACAGTCCACCTCAGCATTGACAATACCAGCTTGGCTGCAGATGATTTCAGAATGAAGTAATATTTTTCATTTTTTTAATAAAAATTCTGTCATCATTTACTCACCCTCCACTTGTTCCAAATCTGTATGAGTTTCTTTATTCTGCTGAACACAGAAGAACATATTTTGAAAAATGTTGGTAATTAAACAGTTGATGATAGCCATTGACTTCCATAGTATTTTATTCCCATACAATGGAGGTCAATGGCTACCATCAACTGTTTGGTTACCAACATTACTCAAAATACCTTTAACTAGTAATGAACTAGTAAAACTAGTGGGGAAAAACAGCCAATCGTTGCAACAAAAATCTTCATGTTGGTGAAGAAAAAGAACTTGTAATGTTCCTTTCTATTGGACAGATATGAGAACGAGCTGACAATGCGTCAGTCTGTGGAAGCCGACATCGCAGGGTTGAAAATTTTTCTCAGCGAGCTCAACATGAGTCATAAAGACCTCAACCTGCAGATTGAAGGGCTCACCGAGGAGCTGGTCTACATAAAGAAGAATCACGAGGAGGTAGTAAATCATTGCAAAACCTTCAGAATGAAGTAAAGCAAGTTTAAGACACAAGATGTATGCTACGAACTGTTCCAGTGAAACATTTTAGACAGGAGGTCAGGTCACGTAAGGTGCTTTATAGCTTTTAAGCTCTAGATGTCACTGTTTTGTGACATATTTCCATGCCATGACATCTGAATGCAAGAATGAACAGGCGGTTATGGGAAGATGGACATCTGAAAATCATATATGCTATATCTTTAGGACCTCTTGACCTCTCATGATCAGATGAGTGGACAGGTCAACGTGGAGGTTGATGCCGCACCACAGGAAGACCTCATCAAAATTCTAGCTGAGATGCGTGAGCACTACGAAACAGTCGTAGCCAAAAGCCAGAGAGACCTTGAAGGCTGGTTCCAGCAGAAGGTTAGTTCAGTGCAGAACTTCACTCTGTATATGACAAACACAACACGCAGTCAAAAATGTTGGAAATAAAATAATAAAGATGGTCCGATTAATAGTTCAAGAAAGAAAAGGAAAACATCAATACAGAACATCAATGCAAAGATGACGTGTTTTGGAAAGGAGTAGTATGTATATCTCACAAGTTTAAAACATTGTCACAGCTAACCCTATGTTGGGTTTATACATGTATTAAATGAAACAATCGTTTTATGCAATCATTTTTAAACACTTCTTTTGCAGTCCGAGACCTTGAAACAAGAGGTGGTAACAAGCACAGAGACCTTGCAAATTTCGAAAACCGAGGTCAACACAGTGAAGAGCACAGTACAGTCCCTGGAGGTGGAGCTTCAGTCTCTCCTTGCCATGGTGCGTATGTGCAGAAGAAATGTACAGTGGACCCAAAAACTATTTGGACACTTAAGTGACACTTAAAAAATGCATGCCAATTGGTTTGATTGGTTTTATTATCTAATGGGGTGCAGTGAAAACAAGACCAATCGAACAAGTTGGCACACAATTTTCAAGCAAAATGTTTTACATAAAATAAATTTGTTACACTCAAAACCATTTAAAAGTAAGAAAAAGTGTTTGGACATTTTAAAATGAATAGAAAATGTACTATTTTGGTCATTGCTAACATATGTTTCTCTCAATATCCCCACCTCACAGAAATCATCCATGGAAAGCACCCTAAGCGAGACTCAGAATCGCTACGCCCTGAAGCTGTCTGGCTACCAGGCACAGGTGCGTTCCTCAGCATAAGACTATGAATCTCATCAATCTTACAGACAGATCTCTTACTGTAGCCATTTTAAAATGGCCTGTGTTGGGGTTCTCTCTTCTCCCCTCGGGCTTGTAGGTGAGTGGAATGGAGGGTCAACTGGTGCAGCTTCGTGGCGATCTGGAGCGCCAGAGTCAAGAGTACCAGATGCTTCTGGACATCAAGACCAGACTGGAACTGGAGATTGCAGAGTACAGGAGACTGCTAGATGCAGAAGCCAGCGGCAGGTAAATCACAGAGCATGTTTATATAGAAATAAAACAAGCAGTTTACATGCTTTGCTCCATAGTTATTGGAAAATTCTTGAATACATGCAGACTGAGTAACATTCTTTTCCTGCTATGCTATATATATATATATAAAACTATATAATGAACTTATTATTCTTCATATTATAAACAACTATTCTTATTCTAATAATTGCAAACAACACATGAAAGTGCATACCAGAAGTCTGTAGTTCAAAAATTGTTCTTTCACGGAGTTGCTGTGAAAATGCCCTTGGGAATCTTTATTGTTAAAGGAGTAGCTAGTTAGTTTGGGGTTCTGTGGAAGTTTGTGGTTTAAAGCTTGAAAGACCACATCTGTAGTACAAATGAAGCGTTGCAAGTTTAACTGGTTGGGTATTTTTGTTTCCAAACAGCCTCACAATCTCAGGCAACTCTGGCTCCAGCTCGATCACTACCACCAAATCAGCAGTGATCACTGTTGTGGAAGAGGTGGCTGATAGTGGGACGGTGGTTTCTTCAACATCCCTTGTTAAGTGAAGCGCACCGCTCGTGTTGGTTAGAGAACGGAGTTGTAGCTCCTCTCATGCTGTCAGAATATGGTGGTCGTCTTTGAGCATTTACAACAATAAAACTAATGTCAAAGACAAAATGTGTGTGGTTACATCATCTATTCTACATGGATGCAATTTAGAGATTTTTCACTTAAAGTGAGTGAGGGTAGTCCAAGTCCAGTAGTCCAAAGAGGGTATATTAGCATTAGCATTTTAAACAAACAGGTTACCCTCAAATGAAAATGTACTGAAAATGTACTTCCTCTCATGTCATCCAACATCTAGATGAGTTTGTTTCATCATCAGAACAGATTTGGAGAAACCAATGAATCCTCTGCAGTGAATGGGTGCCGTCAGAATGAGAGCCAAAACAACTAATATAAAAATCACAATAATCCACACAACTGAAATCAAATCTAGCATTAATAAGTTTTAACTTTAAAAGGTTTATTCCAGCTCAAATATAAGCCCTCTATACATAATATTGTTTTCTCCAAGTGAAAAAGTTGTCTGAATCAGGAAAGAAATGTGCACAGATAAAGCAGTTTACGAACAAAAACAGTTCTAAAGAAATATGCTGGTAGATTTTGATGTGAGAGGATAGGCAGGACTTTTCACGGTTTGAAGTTAAAATGCCTTAATGATGGATTTATTTATTACAAACATACAGCTTTTCATATCACAAGACTATTTTGATGTCCTGTAGTGGTGTGGATTATTGTGATGTTTTTATCAGCTGTTTGGACTCTCATTCTGACGGCACCCATTCACTGCAGAGGATCCACTGGTGAGCAAGTGATGGAATGCTAAATATCTCCAGATCTGTTCAAATGAAGAAACAAATTCATTTACACCTTTAATGGCATGAGAATTAGCACATTTTCATTTGGAGGTATTCCTTTAACTTGTGGGTAACCAATGCGCATCATTAAACATATCCAATCCCAATCCAATCACATCATCAAATAAATCCAGATGAGAAACATTTACATTACATTAAGTGTATAATGTTTTCAAATGACTGCTTCTCAAATAAAGCTGACTGTCTTTACTTTGTCAAATAGTTTTAAACCACACATAGCGGACAAACAACATTATGAGCTAGGTTAGCATATGTATCAGTACACAAACTATGTAAGCAAGTTACAAAAGAATATACCCTTAACGGACCAGTTTAGCAACACACTTGCACGGATGACAGCATCTGCTGCCTGAATAAATATGAATGTGAATGAACGAAAACTAATGGTAGTGAGAGTAAACATTCATTTCAAGCAGGAATGACTAATCTCACGTTCATGTGTTTTGACGGTCCACCCAAGAAGGCCTGTACAAAACCTGGAGAAATCTATCCATTAACATTCTCAATTCTATTCATCTTACCGGCATTTCTCACCTGTAGGAGACCTCCAAAAAACTGCCATGGATAAAACATCAACTATAATATGTGACCAGTCAAAAAGGTCAATTTTTTTTAAATTGAGATGTATACATCATCTGAAAGCTGAATAAATAAGCTTTTCATTGATGTATGGTTTGTTAGGAAAGGACAATATTTGGCTGAGATACAACTTTGTAAAAATCTGGAATCTGAGGGTGCAAAAAAATCAAAATATTGAGAAAATCACCTTTAAAGTTGTCCAAATCAAGTTCTTAGCAATGCATATTACTAATCAAAAATTAAGTTTTGATATATTTACAGTAAGAAATTTACAAAATATCTTCATGGAACATCTTTACTTAATATCCTAATGATTTTTGGCATAAAAGAAAAATCAATTATTTGGACCCATACAATGTATTTTTGGCTATTGCTACAAATATACCCCAGCGAACCAATGCGCATCATTAAACATATCCAATCCCAATCCAATCACATCATCAAATAAATCCAGATGAGAAACATTTACATTACATTAAGTGTATAATGTTTTCAAATGACTGCTTCTCAAATAAAGCTGACTGTCTTTACTTTGTCAAATAGTTTTAAACCACACATAGCGGACAAACAACATTATGAGCTAGGTTAGCATATGTATCAGTACACAAACTATGTAAGCAAGTTACAAAAGAATATACCCTTAATGGACCAGTTTAGCAACACACTTGCACGGATGACAGCATCTGCTGCCTGAATAAATATGAATGTGAATGAACGAAAACTAATGGTAGTGAGAGTAAACATTCATTTCAAGCAGGAATGACTAATCTCACGTTCATGTGTTTTGACGGTCCACCCAAGAAGGCCTGTACAAAACCTGGAGAAATCTATCCATTAACATTCTCAATTCTATTCATCTTACCGGCATTTCTCACCTGTAGGAGACCTCCAAAAAAGCTGCCATGGATAAAACATCAACTATAATATGTGACCAGTCAAAAAGGTCAATTTTTTTAAAATTGAGATTTATACATCATCTGAAAGCTGAATAAATAAGCTTTTCATTGATGTATGGTTTGTTAGGAAAGGACAATATTTGGCTGAGATACAACTTTGTAAAAATCTGGAATCTGAGGGTGCAAAAAAATCAAAATATTGAGAAAATCACCTTTAAAGTTGTCCAAATCAAGTTCTTAGCAATGCATATTACTAATCAAAAATTAAGTTTTGATATATTTACAGTAAGAAATTTACAAAATATCTTCATGGAACCTCTTTACTTAATATCCTAATGATTTTTGGCATAAAAGAAAAATCAATTATTTGGACCCATACAATGTATTTTTGGCTATTGCTACAAATATACCCCAGCGACTTGAGACTGCTTTTGTGCTCCAGGGTCACATATAATAAAATACTTTCGATTTATACATTGCTCACAAAACATTTCATTACAATATGCAGCTACTTCTGAATGGCTGTCAATAGAGAAATATGCCTTTTGTCCACAGCATGGTACTAAACCAGCAACAAGCAGAATGGTTTAGACATTTATGCATGTCTAATCATGGCTTTTTGCATGGAATTGCTTTTCATATATATATAATATGCAAATAAGTCATTTTTCCCATTTAATTTTATATATATATATACTGTATATATAATTAAATGGGGAAAAATTGCTTCTTGGTTTTTATTTGTTCTTGGTTAGCCTGTCTTTTTTTGTTTAAAATATATATATTAAAAAATCCTATAACAAGCTAAATGTATTAAGAAAATATTTTACAATGCAAATACATTAACGCTTGTTTTCAGAGAATATATTTTTTAAGTGTATTTTGATATTTTTTTCACGTTTAAGGATAAACGAGTTACAAACATAGAAAAACAAGGCAGAATTCAGTATGATACAATCTATGAAAACAAGTTTTAATATCTTGCACAGTTTTGCTTGTCAATGACACATCTTGTTTCAAGGGTCTTAAGATAATTTAACTGAAAAAACAAGACAGAATATGACATTTTTGACATTTAGTACTATTCACAGGGCTGACAATGACTCAATGAAGCAATAATATTAATCACAGATTCTACCAAAGTGTTAGCATTAGTCACACCATCACAATTACTCACTAAAGTCATAGTATTGACTTAAAAGATCAAACTGATTATACTAAAGTAACAATGTTATTCAAACCAACTGCAATGAGTTCACCTCAAGAGAAGAGAAGAGAAGAGAAGAGAAGAGAAGAGAAGAGAAGAGAAGAGAAGAGAAGAGAAGAGAAGAGAAGAGAAGAGAAGAGAAGGGTCAGTATAGGGTCATAGTGTACAATGAAAATGCTGTAAGATCTTGACAAATCACTTCTGCTGTGTTTCAAAAGCACCGAAAAGGTCAAACTGGAATGAAAGATATGTCACTTACTACTAAAATAACAAGTGGCAAACAAACAGATCTGGTTATTCTTCCGATGAACCTGCTTTGATAAACCTCACCTTTCCATGATAATTCTGCTGTACATACAGAAACCGCAAATGTCAAACACATCAAGAGCAGAAGTGTTTCCAGCCCAGCCCATAAAAGAAACGTGGTTTGGTGAGTAAGCAGAATTAATTTTTGTGGTAGCACGCCTGTGGAGGAGGCAATGAAAGGTCTTACCGAAAATGATTGCTACTAACACGTCACATGTTTCTAGGATCTCTTTTCATGAAAACTAATGTGCTGGATTCTCTACACAGGAATTGTTTTTCTACAATTGTTAACCATTTGTAACTCTCCACACAGGCAAAATAACTAAGAAAAGGGAAAGAGAACAGCATAACGCATAATTACTAATAAAAAAATAAGTGAAGAGACTGTCAATGTAAAAAGTGTTTTGCAAAACCATCCTGTGTTATAATTTACCTTCATTCCCTCAATGCAGGAAAAAAAAAAAAAATCTGTATTTTCTTGTTTTCCAGTAAATATCTTATACATCTTAAAAACAAGATGCATTTACTTTTTGGGGTAGGTAAGATTTTTTTTAAATGTTCTAAATGTTTAAAAACTACATTTATTTGATCAAAATACAGAAAGAAAAATATGATAAAATATTTATTTTAATTTAAATAACAGCTTTCTATTTTTATATTTTAAGATGTAATTTATTCCTGTGATGTAAAGCTGAATTTTCAGCATCATTCCTCCAGTCTTCAGTGTCACATGATCCTTCAGAAATCATTCTAATATGCTGATTTGTGCTTATTATATTCTTATAAAATGCTATAATTGATATATTATCATATATCAGTGATTACGGTTGAAAACAGTTGTGCTGAGTAATATTTTAGCAAAAACACACAATTCTTTGATGTATAGAAAGTTCAAAAGAACAGAACGTATTCGAAATAGAATTGTTTAATGTCACGTTTAAACAACTTAAACCATCCTTGCTGAACATTAAAAACTAAATTTAGAGAAGTTTATATATGCTTACATGAAGAAACTACCAGAATACCAGAAGCAATATATCGATGTAAACTATAAACAAGTCTTAATATCCCCTCAAATTTATTTTGTTTTCAAGCATTTGTATGTATGTATGTATGTATGTGTATATATATATATATATATATTACTAGAAAACAAGAAAAATATAATCAAAATTTTTTATTTGTGGATAAAAAACAACAACAACCTGAAACAGAAAGATTTGCAAAGCAGTGTCTTTTATCCTACAT